CCCCCGCACAGGGAAGCCCTGCGCACGCGCCTGCCCAGGGGGCCAACCCCTCCCCGCACAAGGAAGTCCCGCGCGCGCTTGTCCCGGCACCAACCCCCCCCGCGCGTGCCGGGAAACCCCCTGCGCGCCTCCCATGGGGCTGACTCACTCCTCCTGTGCGGTGCTGGGAGCTGATGCTCCCTCCTGCAGTACACCGGCAGAGCAGCTAGTGCACTTCTGGAATCGCCAGAAGTGGCGCTAAGCTGCGGGACTTCTGTCCATCCCCGGGAAGCTGACACTACCTCCATTTTCACTTGGAGGTAGGTAGTGGGGCTTCTTGGGGGTGGGAGGGAAATGGGGGTGGGGCAGACAGGATGTCTCACGAGCAACTGGTCGAGGCCTCCCGAGCGACCAGTAGATCGCGCTCGACCTGTTGGTGACCACGGCTCTAGGGTACAACTCAGTCCCCCGCACAGCCCGTTCCATCCGCTTGGCTGGACAGGAACACACTGCTCAGATGGGAAGCTCTAGTGAGGGCATGAAGGTGTGACACCAAGGTCCCCAGGTAGGGCTCAGACTGCAGCTGCCACATGGCAGGTCACTAGGAGTTGGAGATGAAGCATCCAGCAGATGTCTAGCTCCCCAAGCCACTGTCCACAAAACCCCTGGCTGGTAGGCTGGGCTTGCCCTGATCTTTGGCTCAGATGTTCTACTCGGGCCAGGAAGAGGCAGAGGAAGTTGCCTGAGCATCTAAGGGAATCCTTGGTTGGTTGCTTCATGTCCTGCCTATGTGCCACACTCCTGATCGCAATTGCCTGTGTCTGGTTGGGCCCTGCCAGCTGCCACAACAGTTGCCATTCCCATGCCTGCCCAGGATGGCGCTGGGCTTCTGTTGGGGCATGCCAGAGCAGAGCTGGGACATGCTGCTTCTCTGGTGCTTGTGGCTGTTGCTCAGCTCCCCCTATGCAGCCTCTGTTCTACGATTCTGTCAGCCGACGGTCAGGGCTCCCTATATCTGTCCCTTAAGACCGGCTGAAGTTCTTTTAAATTGTGCCTGGTTCTGTTACAGCAACTGAAGGAGTCAGGTTAAAACTTAAACAGTTACAGGTTTATTGAGGAAGCTTATAAATCATATGGT